GCTCATTTCTCGGAGGCAAAATGAGCAAGAACGCTCATTTGTACGTCATTCTAGAGAGAAATAAATGGCCTTTTTAGCAAGTGGACCATCGATAAAGAAATGTTGGCGGTCTTCTCAAAAAATGCTTGAATTCAAGAAGTTTTAGATAAGTTTCTCAAGAATCATTCGAGCCAGAAAATTCGTTTTGGCATCGTTGGATAGAGAATTAAAAGGCAAAACTTGAATTACTTACGCCGAATAACATGCGATTCACAGCACCTAGCAAATTGCCATTCATAATGATGTCGATTCAATGTTTTGCACAATATTCGTACTGAAACAAATCGAGACTTGAGTCCAGAGTGAGTTCGGCCGCTTAACTAAATCGACGAGCCCATRAAAAACTCCTGTATGTYTAAAATGAACCGCATGCCTTCATACATTGTTAAGGAAAAAAGCTGATAACCAGTGGGAATTGAAATTCTTCTAGCGAGGGAAGGCGGATCGGATATAGTAGCTAGAGACAAACACTGAAAAAGTATTTACAAGATTTCTAGTTATATAAAAAAGACTTTCTTACCAATTCTAGCATGTACTTTATCTTACTCGCTAAAAAAATATAACTAATCTTTAACTGTAATAAAAATCTTCTGAAAAATTCATGGCAAGTCTGTATATGTATCTCGACAGAGTCATTATCATGAAAATTAAATTGAAAGGAATCGTCGCCACTGGTTCGCACAGCGTTAAACTTATCCAAACCACATCCACTGTGGTAATTGATTTTGCAAGTTTAACGCTTTAAACTATTAGTTGAAAAGCGTGCAAAAAAAGTTTGTGCACCACGTACAAACTTTTTTTTACACATTTTTAACTCCCGTCCGCGACTAAAGGCGACTGACATAAAAACAATTAAATACTATTAAACATCTCAGTCATGACCCGTTCAGTCAATTCCTTAAATGTCGGTCTGGCATGTGGGTCCATTTCCCAGCACGGTCGAATCACATTCACGTAGACTGATTGGGCACAACCCTCAGGGCACGGGTACCTAAACAACAGCGAAAATGTCATAAATATTAACTTAACTTGTGCCAATAGAAGGTGTAACAGAATTAGAAAATTAGAAGCGCGATTCAGTCCCAGATGGCAACAAATATTACATACCTACATGAAACTAATGGGTTTTTCGGGGTTTTAGCCCGTCGTTCAGTAGAATTTCTTCCTGACGTTTCGCAAGCACGAGTGGCTTGCATCTTCAGAAGTGGTTTGCTTGAAC